ACTTCTCAACAACAATTAAGCACAGGAACTCTTGAGGGTGCTCTTTATTCTTTCTTTCGATTTAGGAGTTATATTTAATTGGTCTCGTTTTCCAACGTTGACGCGCATTGCAGCAAGAAAATTCTATTGCAGGCAAGCATTTCTCCCTTATGACCAAGAGTAGATGGATCATTGCCTTCCCTATCAAGGTCACATGTGGTGAAGTTGATGGGCGGATTCGTGTTAGCCCGAGTACCACTTCCCAGTCTGCACTCCACATTGGGTTGGCACACATGTTGGGTACAAACGAGAGCTTGAGGTCTCTTGAATCTCTAAAAGATACTTTGTACCTTTCCATATGATTCCGGGGCGAGGAAAGATGTTTGGGGGATGGTAAGTAGTGAAAGATGATTAGGACATGGTAAAGCTATTCGATCCCCAAACATATCCTTAAATTGCACTCCTAGCTGAGAGGATTGGTTGCCACTCACGCGAGAACCTCTTTTTTAAAAAAAAATTCAACAATAAGCACAAATTTGTAAAAGTTTTTAGTTAAAAATTTATGGAGAATCCCACGTGCATGTTCTCCCTAAAATAGCAAACATTATCAACTCACCAAAGAGGAAGAAAACAGTAAAATCCCTCATACATTGGTACTGTAATCATGCAACTACTCCCTAGAGAGCACAACAAATCAATCATCTATATTTTCAAAGAATATTGAGTAGGGAGTTGCAAGAAACAAGGTATTTTGGAACTCTCAAATTTGAAAAAATTAGGGTAGTGCATTATAGGTTCCAAAACACAATCAATAAGCCATTCAACAACACGCTTAATCATTAGCATACACCCCCATAAGCAATCATCAACGTCTTATATTAAAACCCAAGGTAGTGATTCATGGCTCAATCAATCATGATAATCATTCAAACATTCACACAAATCCCCCCCCCCCCCCCCACACACACACACACTTGAGCAATACATTGTCCTCAATGTGGGAGATTCAAAAGAGAAGATCATGAAGGTTACCATAGGTCGGGTTGTGTGTTGGTGAAGGTACACAAGTGTAGGTCTTTGTCTTCCTGGTGGTTTTCACAATGATAAATCGCATAAGAAAGAGAGGAAGACGAGTATAAAATATAGATACAATAAGCATATATTTTAAGTACGGTACTACTAGTACGACAATATTTAGAGTACGAGAATTGAAACGAAATTAAAACAATAGTTAAATAGTTTAAAGAAAAAGAAAAGAAATGCAAGGAAAAAATAAAAGATAAAACTTAGGCCATGGATGCATAGTACTTAATCCTCCTCGGAGTTGTCATCTAGGTGGTCTTCATCCTCGGATAAAAGGTTGTCACCATCTGATGGGGGTGATAGAGGGAACTCTTGCTCTACCTTGCTTGGATTCATCTGCATTTTTCTCATTATCATGTGAACTGCTCCCAAAAGGTAGTGTCTAGACTTCCTCTCACGTCTCATAAGGAAACGAACTTCTCTTTGATCCTCAATAACCCTAGAGTTTTGCTCGATTAGCTTGGCTTTCTGCACAAGAAGAGTGGCTATCTGAGATGCATGGGTGCTAGAGGATGATGCCCCTGTTCTTGAAATGGAAGTTGGCGGTGGCGCTTCGAGTTGAAGTCTGAGTGGTTGGGGGTTATTCCTTTGATGGTCTTCCTTCCATTAATCACCTCTAGAAGTTTCATTTTGGACAAGTGATCCTCGATGAATGCTTGAGTGGAGCGAATGACAGAACAATTGCATTCCTCCAAGTTCATCCCAAAATACCGTGCAAGACGAGTGAAAAAAACTCCCACATGGATGGTCTTGACCTTCAAGTTTGTAATGTTCATGTAGAATGACCGATCCAAGATTTAGGTGAGGCTCGGAAAACATGGATCTCAAAAGATTAAGATCCCTCTTTGTCAGGTTTCTAGCACTCTTTTCCTTGGGAGCAATAGTGTACGAGATGATGTTATTAAGGATGCGCCATTCCTCCTTGAAGGAGGTGCTCATGTTGGATTTCGGGTCAAAAGCGCTTGATGATCCAAGCTTCTGAGTTGATTTATGAAGAATTCTTACGGATGATGGCAAGTTGCTAACTCCTCACCTTGAAGTGCCTGGCTTTCTTAAGAAAAGATAAAACCTGGAGGATAGATAGACTTAGCTTCGGCGAACTCGTTGGAACTCATTTCTCTTTGTTCGCCGCCTAGTGAAAAGGATAGTGTCCTTGGAAAGTCTCGATTGATGGTAAGCACATAGCAATTAAAGGTAGTCAAGAACTCGAGAGTTGACTCGACGTAAATCTTCTCATTGATTGTCAAAAGATTTTTCCATGCTGGGTCTCGAACAAGAGCTTGGATGGGGGCGGTAGCTCCAAATTCCTCCAAAAGTTCCCAAGAGGTACAATGATGCTCCCCATAGGTTCGTGGAGCAAAGTGTGCATTTTCGGCCTTCTCCTTATCTCCGAATTTGAGGTATGGATGGGGTGCTCTCTTTCATCCTTTGATTGAAGTTGATGACTCGGGAATCTTCTTGGACTTACCCATTACTAGACAAATACTAGATAGAATTCTGATTAGCGTACAAGCACAAGGATAAAAGATAGGTTAAAGATGTGGAAAGTCCAAAGTCATGCGAGGTGGTGAGAAAGACATGGTACAAAGATCATTGCAAAAGAAACGCAAAATAGACAAAATGCTATAAGGTTCCTTAGCAACTTTTGGTTCACCTAGACATTTAATCGAATACCTTGTAGGCATGCTATGAAAGCCACTTGCGTAAAAGAAATTCAACCAAAGGGTAACACCCAAAAGGAACTAAGAGTTCTTCGCTCATTAGAATCACCCCCCTAAACCCAAAAGTAAGGAGAAAGAGAATACAAAAACATCTTGCCAACCGTCACATTAGGCACATGTCAAGGCATCAACCAAGGAAAGAATCTCAATATTCATCTTAAGTGTAGATTAAAGTATCACCTTGGATTAGCTCTACTCTAAGCGGACAATTACTCACTCCCATAGTCGGCTAATGCGGATATTGAAAATTCATGCTAGAGGAGTGCATACCAAAAGAGGTGAAGAGTAGGGAGAATGAGAGTAAAATTTCGCACAGCCCGCCAGATGGGATTTCTATCCCGAGCACGGGCAAGATCACGGGCTAGCACCGCTAGATCGTTGCCGCAAACCTTACCATGACGGGCTGTGATCTTAAAAACTCTTATCCTACCATTTAGCTTAGAGGTTAAAGAAAATTTCGAGGTTAAGAGTACCGGATCATGGTGCCTAATCTAAATGGTTCTAGAAAGTAAATATTTAAGAGGATAAGGTAAACGAAAAACAAACCAAAGTATTGGGGTACCTCCCAACAAGTGCACTTTGAAGTCTTTTCACCGGACTCTTTGATTAGGAGAGATTGTCAAGTGGAAAAATCCCCCTCACCATGAGTGGTGTCGTTGAAAACACCCTTATGGTTGAGGCCTAAGTGCAAACCATGAAGCCTTTTGGTGTTCCCCTTGACTAACGACTCTGAAGATAAATTCATTGTGGCATTGACTCGTCCTGAATATCACAATTAATTCCCGCCTAAGGTCCAAGTATAAACCTTAGTCGGGTGCAATATAGGGCAAGTATGTTTAAATATCGACTCGGGCCGGTCCGTGTACCCCTACTTCACTCATTTGAATCATTATCTAGTGAATCAGTTTTGGTTGAAAAGTTTGCTAATTAAAGTTAAGAAAGGCAAAAGTAAATGATTTTGAAAGCTCTTTGTGAGAAGGATCACTCGAGTGTCTCTTCCCCCTAACTACTACCATGGTATGTGAATCGAAGTGATTGTTATGGGAAAGGTGACTACGAACTACTAGGGGACACAAATATGGTCGTAGACCACACTCTCGATTGCCAAACCGAGGAATACATTATAGGCCATTCAAGTGGCCCTCTCAGCTAAGGCAATCGATGGTTGACTTACTCCCTCACTCAACCCAATGGTTGGTCGGCTAAATCGCGCTTAACCAAATTGGTTAATTCAACATGGAGGTTTGCCCTACATTAACCTAGATAGCTGGCTTAGAAGCTCTAGGAATCCCAACTCAATTGAGCCTCCCTTGAAAGGGGGTCTTCCCTCTCTAATCTAGGTTAAAATAGCCAACTAGATTGCTAAGCACAAACATGCACAATCAACATGAAAAATACCTCAATCATTGAATTAAACAACACCCATAAACAATCATTCAATTCACATAACAAAAACTCCATGGTAAATAGTTAGGGTTTCACAACACCCAAGTGAAAAAGGAAACTACTCCATGCTAGAAAGAGGAGAAACACAAGAGGAAGAGGTAGAAACCATCATGGAGATGCTTCCAATCTTCTTTGAGCTTATGCTGAACTTCTCTTGGGGAGAATCTTCTCAATTCACTAGTTGGAGCAAACCCTAGCCTTCTTCCTTCCTTGGTTCGTTCTTTCTCTCTCTAAAATCTAAAGAAGACACTTTCTCACTCTTGGGCTCTCCCTTCTCTCTTTCTTTTAGCTCTCCTTTTAAACAGGGATCGGGCTCAGTTCAAAGCCTCAGTTAACGGCCGTGAACTCTTGAACGCGTACGTGAACCCAAGGTTGGCATCGAAACGCACCGCTTTGCTTGCACTGGTTCACGGGCAACAGCTCCAGTTCACTGTCTTAGTGACCGTGAACTCACCTCGCCTCAGTAACTTAAGATTTGGCCTTGGACGCCTGGATGTTCAATGCAACAACTCCTCTTCATGGTCTTAGCAGACTGTGAACATCCAAGAGAACTACTTAACAGTTAACAGGTAGGAGTTGAATTGCATGGATAACATAGATAGGCAACTATTTTCCGGATTTAATACTTGTACAAAGTTACACATTAGTACAATGGCGTGGCATGGAGACTTCCTAATACAAAATCACGACGTCTACAAGGAAAAATAATGCACACAACTTTCATTCTTCTCTTCCCTCTTGACCCTAGTTAGAAAACCTTGAATATCGAACTCAAGGGTGCCAAAAACTACATGCCGCACCCTTCTTGCATTTCCCGCTTCCAATATATCTACACAGTACTCGCGACCCTTTGGGCGACGATCTGAAAGACCCTCCTCCGGTGGACCCCTGCCTGTTGTTGCCTCCAGCCGACGTTGACCTATCCCTACCACCATGACCACCGGAATCTCTACCGCTGTGGTGACGATGGCTGCTTCGGTGATCTCTTGACCCACCAGAATGTCTGTCCCTCGTCTGGCTTCCCAACGGACTCGGAGGAGGATTCCCTGTGGAAGTTGTAGAATGCCCTGTGGATGTGGGTGACAGGGCCCCACCATGTTTCTGAACTGAGCCGTTAGAATGACTGCTTGCAGCACCTGGGACCAGACCCAGGATCGATCGCCCCCTGGAGTTCCCCAATCTCAAGTCTACTCCAGCAGGTACGGGACAATGAATGGTGTCTGACCCGACTTCAACTTGACAACTCGCGGTTGAGGCAGGCGGCAGCTTGATGTCTAAGATTGGCTTTGTCTGTTTGAAACTTGACTGCTGAACCTGCTTGGTTTCTGAACTTCCTTCCCACCGTCTCTCCAATTTGCTTCTGCTGCTCGAATGCCCACTGGGTGACCTCTTCCGAGCATCTGTCTGTGACAAGCCAATTGTTCGGCCCACTACCGGTGAATGGTGGGGTTGTATCAGGGGAGTAGTGGGCAAACCAAGTGGGAGTGACTCACTTGTTACTGGGGGAAGCGAGAGCATGAGAGATATGTTGTGAACTGGTGGTGGTTTGTGATCAGTTACAGTTATCAACTGGGGAGGAGGCTTGTGATGAGTTGTCGTCCTTCTATACGATTCCTTCTCATCATCATGATGTGCTATAGGCTGAGGAGAAGACATAATCGATAAACCAAGCTGTTGTTCCCCTGCTAATGAAGATAAACGGGATGGCATTTGCATTATATCTCCCCCACCTGTGGAGCTTAATGCATCGCTTCTTCCGTGATCCGGCACTGCAGCCGGGCTAAAATCCTCCACAGGACTAAAGCAATCATTATCGGAGACTTGCATCAAATCCACACCACAGCTTAATTTTGAAGTAGGGGATGGCAATCCACCGAGAGATTCCATGGCCTCTACCTCGGCTAAAAGGTCTGAAACAGATTCATCGACCAAGGAGAATTCATTGGGTTCTGGCACAAGATTGGAGCCCCAGTCCTCGACAGAAGATTTGGCTATAGCGGGGGAAGAATAGCCCATCGTCCATTCAGTAGCGGCGCCAGGAAGCCGCGTCCCACCAACTAAACTCGAAGTAGTGCTCCAGCAGGGCCCTGCATCAATGATGGGCACATTACAAGAGACAGTGGTAGAGTGTTTGCTTTCTTCGCGACCACTCTGCCCACCTTTCAAGTCCCCATTATCGCCTTGTTGCTGCTTCGGCAATGGACTTTGTAGATCGGCAAAAATGATTTCGTGTTCAAGCTTTACTGTTTCTGTCGAATTAGAGATAGAAGGGAAAGTAGAGTTGAGATCCCATCCAATCGTGATGCTCATGTGCTGAGACTGCTGCCAACTCTGACGAGAAGATTGGCTAGAACAACCACCTTCACTGTTGTTGGTGCCTTTCACGTTATCACTTTCTTCGACAATGGTTTGTTGTTCTTCCTTTGGAGGAGTCTTATGATCTGGGCTACTTTCTTTCAAATCATTCACACTGGAACTCCTGTTTTCCTCTTCCTCAACTTGTCCCACATGGGGGGTCGGAGCATCATTATAAACTTCAACAGAAGAAGGTAAAGTAACTGAACCACATATCTCGGACTGCTGATCAACCCAAGACTTCGGGTTAGTCTTGGTCAACTCAACTTGTCTCACGTGGGCCGTGGCATCATTATGATTTTTAGCAGAGGAAGAAGGTAAAGAAACCGAATCACATACATCGGACTGCTGCTCAACCCTTTGACTTAGTTCATTATTGCCAATAACAAGATCCACTAACATGGTCAACCTGGATGGATGAGAAGCCAACTCCTCGGTACTCCTTGTAATTTCATCATTACCATCATCACTGATTCGGGCACTTGAATCATTTTTCTCAGCCTTGCCACTTTTATCAACTTCATCATTCTTATCCGCCTCCATCTGAGTTGTACCAGTATCCTGACTTGATCCACTGCTCCACTTCTTATCTGTACTATCACATGCAGCTGTTGCTACTTCCTGAGGCAACATAATACAGTTATTATTTGCAGGTTTTGGTGGCTCTTTCTGGAGCACCAGCCTAAGCAAAGCATCAGTCAAAAGAACAGAGTCTTGCTCATTCTCGTGCACTCTCCACACTCTTAGATCCTGGGGGAAAAGCCCACTTGTGCTCCATTTCTGAAGTTGCATCATAGGGAAAGGTCCTTGAACTGTTCCAAAAGGATCACGATAATGCCAAAGTCTCTCTAGCTCATCCTCATTAATTAGAGGAGAGAGTGGTATCCCTGGCGGGAAAACTGCAGATGTTGGTTGACAAGGAGCGGCCACTGGTCGACTATTTTGTTCATGGCTAGATGATACGGAAAGCATCTGGTTTGCTGTAGTGGTATAATTACTCGACTCTTTGACAGACTTGCGGGGACCTATATTTGGATCTGAATGCACAATAGGAACCTCAAGCAACCTACGCTTGCTTTCTTCAAATGACTGCAGAATGTCCAATTTCTCCACGCATTCTCTGAGAGTGGAATGTGGTCAAGGAAAGTCCATATACTGCACTGAAGTATCGGGGGTTCATTTTGGCAAAAAAATGGAACAGAACAAAAAACTAAAACAAACACTTTTTCAATCTAACCTTTCCTCCCTTTTCTATCGTAGCAACAAAAATCACTAAAGGTCATTTTTCAGTTATTAGCATGCTAAAAGCAAGGAAGGTGCCGGAGGTGAAGAAACCCAAGGAACCCGTACACAGGAACTAAAATCACCAAAGTCATGCATGCAATGAGTTGAATCAAAAAGGGTTGCTATGCAATAAACTGTATTTAGGATATTTCTTCCGCTGTCTTTTTTCACTGGCTTGATCCCGAAGATGATTAAGGCGTGATATTTCTGCTTCCAGGCACTGTAGGAGATATTGACAAGTGAAAAAAGGAAGCATGCAAGACTGTCACACTAGATTGTAAACAAATATATGTATAAGAACGGATATGACGACATACATCACTAACTTTCATGGAATGAAGTACTATTGCTTTCTCCTGGACCTCACCCTACAACCAAGCGAGACATGTATTATGGAGAATGGCACATATTGCTTTTTAAGTGAACACATCAATAAAAACACAAGCACCATACTTACCACCTTCATAAACTTTATGAGGCCAGATTCTACACTGAGCTTTAGGCGTCTGCATTCATCCTGAAAACATAACGAGGCATGGCATATCAAATTCAGAGGAAGAGGAACTATTCAAGGCTCTAATTAGAATTTACAATTCAGATCTACTTAATCCGTATATACTTCGGACCAAATATTTAACTCTAAATGGTAAACTTTTTACATCTTCAATTGATTTTTCAACAAAACTGAACTTTATGAGCAGAATCCAAAAATGGTTGTTAGGAGGCAACATCTAATTAGAGGTACAGACTTTAAAATCTTAATGACGGAATCCATTTCTCAGATAAAGCCTACCAGATGCATTTTAACTGCAGCACTGAGAGTTCCAGGGGGATAACCGTGCCCAAACAAATACTAGCATGATCTAAAAATGTAGCCTGAAAATACTTCTGCGGGTCACATTCTTCAAGGTAACATGCATTTTCCAACATGAGGATACAGGTTTATAAAGCATCATAACGGATATTTAGATAGAAATCCTTAGTTCAAAGGTCTTTAAACTCATGCAAACTAATAGTACTCCGTAAGTGTGGAACTACAGGCAGAAGGATCCCAGCAAGCACTCTCCACAGAACAAACAATTAGATCAGTAACAAAAAAATTACTGCATGCCAACACATTGAAGCTTTCAAGCAAGTGAAAACAAAGATAATGTTACAAATCCTGAACAGGAAAAGAAAACTTCTGGACCCTGAAGTTTGAAACCCACAAACTTCAGAGCAAGCATCAAGAAATACTTAACGAAAAACATAAATAAATAAATAAATAAAAAGCTAATAAGGTCTGTATTTATTGGCATCACAAGTCACCTCTGAGAAATCTTGGTCTGATATACCATCAATTGACACAAATTCCTTCTTGTCTAAATTTGATATTTCAAGCAAAATATCAGTTTTCCTTGAGCCAAGCTTATATGCTTGAGATGCCTTGCAGGTACCTGAAAGTGGGAACCATTCATCCCTCAAAAAATTCTCAGGCAGAAAAACTTTCCTTCAAGACTACTCGAAGCTAGTTCGGAAACAGGTCATTGCAAGTCATACCTACAACTTGCACGAGTCGATGCATATCACCACAGGGAATCCTAATACGGACAAATGACCCAACCACTTTCTCATGGAACTTGTCAGCTTCATTGACAAGATTTTCCATCAAACTACGTTTTAAGTATAATAGATTAATATTGTGAACATCAATTGCTGCAAATTCATCTGCATTGGGATTGGTGGTGTGGGTTTCTTTCTCATCCATCCTATTGCTTGTCTTACGGCTTCTATCATTGCTAACCACCGGGAAATTACCAATAATACCAGCAGAAAGATAGGTACAGCTAGCGTTGCCCTCAGCAGATGGTAATTCCACCCTAACTTGAGATTCATCACGCTGAGGGATTTCTTTCACAAGAAAGTGGCTTTCAAGAAGCTTCAACATCTCTATATGATCAATACGTGTTTTGCCAAAGAGGTTTATAAGCCTTGTATCACAGAGGATCTGACATTTGCGGCGAGGATCACGCAGATTGTTGCTTTTGATGTAGTCTAACAAAAGAGCCTCCACATCAAACTGAGATAAGAAAGTAGTATCCCCATTCTTCACATGTGCAACAAACTCCAAGAGCTCCTTTGTCGCCCATTCTGTTGTGCCCACAGGCAAAGGTACAACTTTTTCAACAGTCAACTTGTCCACCGTACCTACAGATTTTTCCTCATTCATAATATTAGGCTTGTCGTCAGTTTTTCTCCTCTTGGAATAGTTCGTCTCCAGACTCCCATAGCTGTTGCCAGAAGAAGATGCCTTTTCATTAGAACCATAATAAATTTCACTAGAAGATTCTCCCACGGGTCCAATAACATCAGCAGGAACTTTCCAGGCACTTTTAGTTTTATGTAGCTCATCAACTTGCCATGGATTTTTAGCCTTCAGTATTTCGTCTACAGTCAGCAATAAGATTTCTTTAAGGCACACCCAATACACTTTAAAAAGATATTCCCAGCTCAATTTGTCGTCAAAATCCACTTGAACCTGCAGAATAGCATAGACCAGAAAAAACATGAAATTGCCAGGATCAGTACAGCCAAAGGGGGTGGAATAAAGTACTTACGCATAAACTGCTAACAGCAACTCATTGGCAATAAGACTGTTCAAAGGTCGAGTTAGGCAGCAGTTGACATACCTTCTCGCTATTCTCCATCGGTACATTTTCAATTAGCATTATAGTTTTCTTACACGTTCCACAAAATCCTTTATTTCCTCGCACGCATAAGTAATCAGCACCTTTGGTGCATCCTTTGCAGAGAGAGTACGTACAAGTGTAGCACATATAATGAGAAGTCTTCTCACAATTGCTACATATATGCCAGCCTGATACATACCATAGTTAAACAAAAATAGAGTATAACTTACTGAACACAGAAATAAGGCGTGGTAAAAATGGAAAGAATTTGATCATTGAGATAGGAGCAAGAGAGACAGCATGTTGGAATTATCAGTCTTCTAAGGATCCAACAAATCATGACTCATGAGTACAGTGAAGCAACAAGAATCTAATGCGAACCGGAAGATAAATCATAAAAGACATCGACTGGCCATTAGAATGGAAGTATCAAATCCATCGTACTGGATCATCCATAAGCAGTTAATGATAATCCACATAACCAATTCAGATGAATACACACTCAAACTATGTTCACGACTTGATGTCAGAAACTATCGCATTGTCGTTCCAAATGGAGTCGCCCACGCATACATATGGGCAGAGAATTTAGGGCATAGTTGATAAACTCTCGACGTACGCAGCAGCAAAAACGGCTAAAGTTGGAATTATAGTGAATGAAAGCATCCAAAATTTAGAAGCGATTTTACCGCAGTTCCACTTCCCCTTTGATTGGAAAAATGCTTCATCCCTCTTGATACAAGCTGGATGGTATGCTTTAGGGCAGCCCCTATGCATGTCAAGGCACAAACAGAATAACCAGTTAAATGATAGGCTAACTGATACAAGTAGATAGAAAACCCCCAACCCTACCGGATAGTCTCAGGTTGGAAAGTTTTGCATAGAGGCATTTCGCTTGGCACTTAATAGAGATGAACTTCTTCCGTGATCTTCATAGCCAGGAAGCAGAAATTCAGAAGCAACACTAACCCAAAGAGACTGACCTGCGATCGCATAGTACTAAGCTGCCGCCATCGAAGCATATGAAACAAACATCCTCTTCGTCCATGGCCTTGGGCGGAGGAGGCGGCGCTGGTTTGCCCTGATTCCGCGGAGGGCGGCCACGCCTTCTTTTCACCTTACTGATCTCCGTAGCAGCTGCCGCATTCCTGACTTCAACGTCCAGCCTAGACACGTCAGCTTTAGCCAGGACGACAGGGACCCCGACGAGCTGAGAGTCGTCCATTTCCCTAATCGCCTCGCATTGATCGATGGTCATATGTTCAGCTCCAACCCCGCGCAGCAAACTGTCGAAAACTCCGCGGCGCTGGCTCTGCTCTCCCTCACCTATCCAAGTCCTGCGCACCTGCTGCTGTTGCTCCATCTCGGTAAGTTTGACTTCAGGTAAGAGAAAAAATCATGAAATGGCTAGTGATGCCGCCAATCAAAGAAACCTAAATTAGCTAGGTGGTCGGCGGGGTGGGTGGAGGAAGGAAGGAGATAATTTAAGGCAGCTGATGCGGGAAACCCTAGGTTCGAATCGTGGACGGTGGTCGCTGGTGGGGGATGATCTCCGGCGAAGGTAGTGGGGCACGTGGAAATGGACTTGGTCAGGTCAGGGATGTGCAGAGCAATAGCCACTTTCTTTTCTTTCTCTTCCCCCGCTTTCTCTCTCTTCCCTGTTCGCTGTCCTTGTTCTCTCTCTCTCCTCGCTACTTTTTTAATGGGAATGTTTGAAGTTTAGGAGAGAGAGAGAGAGTGCGAGGCAGAAAGAGAAAGGGTAGCAGCAACTAGCAATCAATAAAGAAGACAGAAATCCAAAAGGCGGACACTTGGGATTGGGCGCGAGATGAGAAATGGAAGAACAGTACACAATTGCGACCATAACAAAAGGAGGAGGGGAAAAAGATAGGTAGACCAAGACTGTGTATGACGTCTGACGACACAGCAGAGTGGACGGAGGGAGAGGTTAGTTTTCCTTTTCGCATTCATGAACGAGGCGTCAAACGCGGCACTTGGATTCCCCCACTCTTTTCTCATTTTCCTCCTTTCTTCCTCTTTATTCTTTAATCTTTCCCTCTTTCCAACTTGCTACCAAATAACCATTAGTCTTCAGCTACATGTAAAAGAAAGTTCTTTGTACCTTTTTCCTTGAGAACGATTTTATTATTGCAAAAGCGATAGTACAAGAGCAACATCAAAATCAACATGAAGAGAGAAAAAATAAAGAACAAAACCGCCGTGTTCAAAATGTTTGAGCTACTGCTAGAAAAAGAATAATAACAATTTGTCAAGGTGCGTATCACGAGAGCTCACACCCTATAAGTCTATGTCAGGTCTTCTATAAATCATTTCTAAAAGAGAGTTGCTAATTATTGCCCTAATTTTATATAATCGTCCTAACTTACAAATTATTATTACTTTTTTATCCTTCTCGTCCTAATTTATTTTAACGAACATAATCACCACAAAACAGTTGTTTTGATTCTCACCACCGCGACACTCACTCCGTCGCCCGCCACCTTATCAATCGAACAGAATAACTTGACCAGAAAGAATGTAATCGGGCACCCAAGTTGAGCTGAGCAAGCGCCCCCGACTTGACGATGATGCGGAACTGCCCGAGTCACTGAAGAAATGGCTTCAACCGCCCAAGCATAAAGTGACCCTGGTCTGTTCTGATCGTGCTGCATTGGAACGGGGCGCCGCCGTCCAAATGGCACTGGGCGCTGGCGACGTGCTCCGGGCGCCCCAAGAACTGGCAGTCGCTGACCCTTTGGCCGAAGTGTGCCTATTGAACGCCCAAGTAAGTTGACAGGCGCATTTCTATTGTTTTTGACAGACGCATATCTATTGTTTTTTACAGGCGTATATATATTGTTTTTGCAGATGATGCTTGCTGCACAGAAAGCTATCAAAGAGCGTGAGGCCGTGCGCGCCGAAGCCAACAAAGCGATCACCTCACTCGGCGTGTCCCAGGACAACCTCGAGACTGCAAGAAACCGCCAAGAAGAACTCATCAAAATGTGTGAGGATGCCCAACTCGAGGCTGCGAAGAGCGCCTCGCTTTTGCAGGTCACCGTTGATGAGGAAAAGGCGAAATTGCGCCAAGAGTATGAGGCGCAGATCGAGGATGAAAAGAGGGCGCATGAGGAGACCAAGGTGAAGCTGGAGAAAGAGCTACTCGATTCGGAGAAGGAGTCGGGCGCCTACAGAAGTGAAATCGACATTCTTCGCCAAGAAAGGCGTGCTCTGAAGAAGGACAAGAAGGTGTTGGGGGAGAGAGAATGAGAAGCAACAGAAGGAGATTCAGGCGCTCAAGGAGGAGAAGAAGGCACTTGAAGATGAGAAGCAAGCGCTCGAAGCACGGGCGGTGGGTGGCAACTCATCGGATTCCACTCAGGCGCTTAAGGCCTCGGCGTCCTTGAACAGCATTTTGATTTTGCGCAAAAAGCTGTTGGCCGATCATCCCAACATTGATTGGGATGTCAACTCCATGGTGAGTTTCGTAATTTCTTACATGGAAAGTGGACGCCCAATAGCAGACGAGGCGCCTGACGACGATGGTGAAGAAGATGATGATGGTGATGACTCTTCCTCCGCCAAGTCCGGCAGTGGTGCAGCCGAGTAGTTGTAGGCGCATAGGCAACATTGTCTGTGTATTATAAATGATCATTTCATTTTCCGCGTTTCCTTGTCTGATGACTCTCTTATGTTTGGTTGACTATCATTTTATTTCGCCCATGTTATTTCCTCTTAGCCTAAGTTATTTTCACGGTCTGTTTTCGTATGCAACTTTACTCGCCTTTGTCATACAATGGGCGCCTGGCATGATATTGGCGCAAAGGTGGGCGCTTTATACTAGGAGGGCGCTATAAGGAGGGAGGGGCACAAAGGTGGGCGCTTTAAATGGGGTGGGGCGCATTCGCTTGGGCGCCTTTGTTGCATCTTTTCTCAAAACTCTACTTCGTATTAATTAATCCGATTTCTCACAAGTATGGGCGCAAGAGAGGGCGCTTTACAAAATATTGGGCGCAATAAGGAAGGGCGCTTTGATTCTACGGCGCGTAAGGGCGCTTTTGGAGACAGATAAAGAAAAACCTACTAACCACTGAAGATTAGCCACTGACCACCTCCTTTCGAGGCGCCTACTCTGATATTTCAGTCATTGTACCCACTTCTTCCTCACCCTCAGCATCCATCATGCTTAATTCCCCGGCCTCATATTTTCTCAAGTTTTGGGCATTCCATGTTCGCTTCACGTTCTTACCCGACAAGGTTTGCAATTTGAATGTACTTGGGCCAACAACCTCCTGAACGCGATATGGACCTTTCCATTTTGGGGCCAATTTTCCCTCGGTGGCCTTGGGACGAAAATCACGCTTTAACACCAGGCTTCCTTTCACAATGCCATGTGCCCGCATCTTTTTGTTGTAATACCTTGCTACCTGCCCTTTCATCGCTTCCAAACGCAAGGCTGCCACCTCTCGGCGCTCATCCAACAAGTCCAGCTCATCAATGCGCTCCTGAACATCCATTGATTCATTGCGGTGGGTCATTCTGTAGGTAGGCACCCTCATTTCCACTGGCAAGACGGCCTCGCTGCCATAAGTCAATGCGAAAGGTGTTTCTCCCAATGCCACCTTGAAGGTAGTCCTGTGCGCCCACAAGACACTCGGCAGCTCCTCAACCCACTTGCCCTTTGCCTCCGCCAACCGTGTGTGCAACCCGTGCAATATGCTCTTGTTAGCCGCCTCAGCTTGCCCATTGGCTTGGGGGTAGGCCACGGACGAGAACCGCAAAATCACTCCATTTTCATCACAGAACTCCACGAACTTCTTGCAATCGAATTGCTTTCCGTGGTCAGTGACAATGGATTCTGGGAGTCCAAACCGTGCGAAGATGTTCTTATTGGTAAACTTCCGCACCTGCGCTTCCGTGATTGTCGCCAATGGCTCTGCTTCAATCCATTTGGTGAAGTAATCCACTGCGACAATTAAATATTTGAATTGTCCAGGCGCCTTTGGTAACGGTCCCAAGAGATCCATACCCCACTGGGCAAAAGGCCAGGCGCCCACATTCCCTTGCATGGGTGCCGCTGGGAGATGTATGTCGTTAGCGTAAATTTGGCATTGGTGACATGCGGCCACATGTCTTCGAGCGTCTGCCCGTATCGTGGGCCAGTAATATCCTTGGCGGAGCACATTCTTTTCAAGGCTTCGAGCGCCTGCGTGCATACCACAAGTTCCTTGGTGAACCTCCTTGATCGCCTGTAACCCCTCAGCCTCAGTAAGACACCGTAGGTAGGCGCCTGAGTGTGATCTCTTGTACAACGTCCCATCCACTATGGTACACCTAGCTGCTTTCCTTCGTAAGCGCCAAGCCTCTTTCGAGTCCTCGGGAACCACCCCTTGTGTGAGAAAGGATCAAATTGGTTCCATCCAGCCTTCTTCAATCCCCGATGATATGGACGCCATTATCACATCTTCGTGGGGCACCTCCTTCGTCACAATCACCGTTCGATTCTCCTCAAAATCAAGCGCCGTCGCCAGTTTGGACAGGGCATCCGCATGCGTATTCTCTTCCCTTGGGACATGCGTGAACGTGACTTCACGAAACCAGGCGCATTTCTTGCGTACCGAGTCCACATAGGCGCCCAATGATTCTTCCTTTATCTCATAAACTCCATTTAGTTGGTTGACAACTAACGCTGAGTCAGATTTGATGTTTACCTTCTGAGCGCCCAACTCCCTAGCCATGTGGAGTCCTGCCAAAACAGCCTCATATTCTGCCGCGTTGTTTGTTTTGAGTGCCGCAAAACGCAAGGCTATTTCATGTAAGGCGCCTAAGGGACTCATAAGAACAATTCCCGCCCCCGCTCCTACTCGACTTGCTGCACCATCTACATGCACCTGCCAATATTCTTCGGCCGCTACTCCTCCATCCGAGACGCCCTCTGCAATGAAATCAGCTAACACTTGTGCCTTGATGGCGGGGCGAGGTGCATAGCTGATATCAAATTCACTCAATTGAACCGCCCACTTCACCAGGCGCCCCGACACATCCATGGATCCAAGGACGGTTCGGAGAGGAAGGTTTGTGAGAACCACAATGCTGTGAGCTTGGAAATATGGCCTGAGCTTGTTTGCCGCCATCACTACTGCCAGCGCAGCCTTCTCTATAGGCGCATATCGTGTTTCGTGGCCTACCATGGTACGACTCACATAATACACTGGTCTCTCTTCATTCGAACATGGTTCCCTGGATATGAGAACCGCACTCACAGCAATGTGGGATACTGCTATATACAAATATAACACTTCCTTGGATTTGGGCGCCGTCATCACTGTTGGGGCCGTGAGCACTTTCTTCAAGTCGTCAAATGCCCGGCTACACTCCTCGGTCCACTTGAATTTGGAGGCCTTTTTTAACACTTTAAAAAAGGGGGCGCCCCGGTCGGAGGCTCGGGGGATGAAGCGCCCAAGCGCAGCCAGCCTGCCCGTCAATCCTTGCACTTCCTTCGGAGTTCGCGGGGGCGCCAGACTCAATATCGCCTCAACCTGTTTGGGATTTGCTTCAATTCCCCTCTTGGTTATCATGAATCCCATAAACTTTCCCGCTTCCGCCAAAAACACACACTTCTTAGGATTGAGCCTTAGCTTGAAGAAACGCATGGTCTCAAAAGTTTCACGTAGGTCCCCAAGGTGGTCTAGGCGCCTCTTGCTTTTCACGATTAGATCGTCCACATATGCCTCCAAGTTTCTTCCTAGTTGCTTTCTGAACACTTGATTGACCATTCGCTGGTAGGTTGCCCCCGCATTCTTTAGACCGAACGCCATCACTTTGTAGCAAAAGTTACCAAAAGGTGTCATGAAAGCTGTCTTCGCCCTGTCCTCTTCTGCCATGGGGATTTGATGGTAGCCTGAGAACATGTCGAGGAAGCTAAGTGCCTCATGATAGGCCGTCGCATCCACCAGGAGGTCAATACGTGGCATAGGATAAGCATCTGTGGGGCACGCACGGTTAAGGTTCGTAAAATCCACACACATTCTCCAATCTCCCGATGGCTTTGGGACGAATACTACATTCGAGAGCCAAGTAATGTATCTTGCTTCCTCCACGAATCCCGCCTCGAGCAACTTATCCACCTCCCGACGGAGCGCTTCTTCCTTTTCCTGAGTCAAGTTCCGCCGCTTTTGTTGAACGGGCCTCTTACCCTCCTCCACAGCCAGCCTATGCATCGCAATCTCCGGCGACACACCGGGCATGTCCTACGCACTCCAAGCAAACAACTCTCCGAATTCTCGCAACAACTCGATTAGTGGAGCCCTCATGTCCTCTGGCGCCTGCTCCGATATTCTCACTTGTCGTTCTGGACGCCCTTCATCAATTGCCACCACCAATTCCCCGTCCACGGATTCAGCTCTGAGAACACTCTGAGAACACCTTGCCTGATGTTGCACCCTTGGGCTTCTCCTCCTCACCATTATTTTGCAAGGGGACTGCCTCAATAGCAGCTTCAGCAGCAACAGATGAGGTGCATCAACATGTTGAGGTGCAGCAAGAAGTTGAAGTTCAGGTTGGGAAGTAATCTCTACGCTCGAAATAGGCAGACCAACTTGAGTATCCTTGTCCATTTTCTATCCAAACCAAACATTACAACGTTAGTTCAATCTACATGGTGAACAAATGGGAAAAATATCACCTACCCAGAAGGCCAAACTAAGGAGAGGAGAGGTCAAGTTTTGATTATCATGTATGCTATGGATTTAGACATGTCCACCCACCAACTCAAGCACAATAACACAAATCTCGGACAAATATGCACTTGAAGTTCCAGAACTGCATACTAAATCCTATTTGAACCATTTTTTTGTAAGATGCAGCTAACTATTAGATGAAACTAAACAATTCAAATCCAAATCCACTGGAATTTTAAAGCTGGAAAACTATTTCGAGCAAGTTCCAAGTAGAAAGAAAACGAAACGCATCAATGAGCGAACTAGAGGGGAAAGAAATTATAATTGGCCATGGCAAATAGTTTTCTCTAATTTTTCAACCACTTGTTGAATGTTGACTGCGGTTGTGTGCAGTTTGACCGAAATTTGGTTGTCTTTGATTTCCTAACCATCTATGTTAGGTTGCATTTGTTTTACAACAAAGCACTGTTGAAGTTTGTAGATAATACTTTATTGCACACTTGAGTTTTTTATTATTTTGTACAATGTCAACCAGAAATGATGTAACTTGATGAATCACGACATCCGCAGTAACACATTTGTATCGATGTGCAGTACTTAAATGCGCAACCATACTTGTTACTTATGAAAACACTCTGTATTCCAATTGGCAGATTTTATACGTGTTCAATCAGAAACTGTTACAACAAATCAGGGAGCCAATCATGGCCATCAATGAAACCAAGAGAAATAAAGGGCTCAGCCTCTGCATCAGTAAGCTCCCTAGACCACGGAACTCGCCCTCCAAAATTGGCTCCCGGCCCTGAACACTTATACTGCCCGAAAAACACAGTCCTACACAGTGAACCGAATTGAGAAGTGAGTAGACCAAAAAAGACGGGGGAAAATCCTGAAGGAAATAAACTTGGTTGGGAGCGAACTTACATTTCCCTGTTTTTATCTCCCCAGTCGTACCACCCAGGAGGGGTAATGATCTTGTCCATGAAAGTGTAAGCAAAGACCACCCTAGAGAAAGACCCCCACGCCCTTCCTAGATACAGAGCTCCTGACCCAGTGACCTTGCACCCCACAAACGAGAACCCTGTTTCCTCCAGCAAGCTCCCTCTCTTCTGCGCTGTCAGGGCCCCGAAGCTATTGGTGACTGCGTGCAAATGGCATTTCTCGTACAAGGACAGACCGTTCCCAAACACGAAGTCGACCGAGCCCTCGATGTAGCAGTGCTTGAAGTAGTGCCTGCCAGTGTGGTCGTACAAGGTGTCCTGTGCTCCGATGAACTTGCAGCCAATGAACGCGGCCGTGTCAGCAGAGATTCTAAGGGCCACAGCTTGTTTCCCTAGAGCTCCTGATGGTGGTGGTGGTGCATTGTTCTGAGCAGAGCAGAGCAAAACAAAGGAAAATGGAACTGTCATTGAAATTGACAAATCCTTTTCTCAATGTTACTCGTTGCTTTGGTTTAGTAGTAAACAAATTATTCAATACTTCATCGACTATATTTTCATTTTGTCAAAGAAAGGAAAGCTTAGGAAACAGAGGAATGGATGAACCAAAACGGGACCTTGAAGGTAATGTTCCTGGCAATGAAGTAAGGAGAGTTGACAGCGAAAGTAGCGGAGCCATAAGTTCCCAATGGATGCCCATCTCTCCCAATTCTATCGGCTGTGTCACCCCACTCGATAATGGTCTTCCCAGCACCAGCGCCTTTGAGGGTTACGTAGCCCATCGTTGCAGGTATCTCAACCTTCTCCCTGCAACCCAAAGAAATTAATATCAATGGAAATTAAAACAAGCATCAATGCAGGAGTACAACTCAGTCACGTAACTCCCCATCACCAAACCTGAAAGTTCCTTTGCCAATGGAGATGACAACTCGGCAGTTATTCACAACTGGGATGGAATCTATTGCCTTGTGCAGGGTGGTGAACATCCTGGAGGATTTCGACTGGCGTTTGTGCTTCCTCACTTTAAGGGTCAAGCACGGCCTGGGCTTGTTGTTGGATTTCTGGAACATGGCATGCTTGTTGAATGAGCCCATTTGGATTTGGTGTAGCCACTTGGAGTAGTCTTTTGGTTCTGCTACCACCAACCTGTTTCCGTCCATGTCGCCTCCCGTCGACCCATTTGGAGAAACCAATGGGGTTCCTCTCTTCAACAGTAGCATCACCAGAACGAGCTTCAGCAGTAGTGTCATCATAATTAGTCGAAATGGCTGCAAGCTTTCTGCTGATCTCCGCAGAAGAGCAAAATAGAAAGAAGATGGAACTTGGAATTAAGGCGGGCTAAAAAGGGATGATTGTCAGTTTGGGAGCTAGCGAGGCAGAAGATAAGAGAGGATAAAGTAGTTAGTCAAGAATTCTGTTTCCAGGCAGGCAGAGTATGCATTATGCAATAAGACAAGATGGGAATTGCAGTAGGAAATGCAGAGAAAGAGAAAGGAATCTGTAGGAGAAGCAGCATGGCCGCTAAATACAATATTCTTACGTATATATAGATTGTCTCTTCTGGCTAGGGGACCGGCCCTTCCTTCACTCATTGGACGACCCTGTCAGTCAGGCTGACGGTTGTCTATTCTGTTCTGCCAGGGATAGAAGATTTGAAAAAGAAAAATTAATAAAACAAACAGAAGAAATTTCCAACTAGCTTGTTCATCACTAGCAATACCATTGTTGCTTGCTCTATCAGAACTCTTTGGTCTGGTCACGCCATCCTTAAAGATGGAGGTGAGAAAAATGGGGGTTGAATGTTCTTTTTTGCTACTAGATTTCAGGCATGTGAGGTTGGTAAGTTGTTCTGGGAAACTCTTGAGCATTAAAAGAGTATGGAGAGCGAAGGGCAACAGGATCATGTGATGCATAGAGATATGGAGTTATATATGTCATTGTGGCTCCTTTGTGAGTGAGTGCGATTGTGAGGAGGATGCTCCAATTGTACGTTGTGAGAGTGGCAGAAACATGGGCGGGAGAAAGGAGAAAGGGGAATGGGTGTGTTTTGAGTAAGGGCCGGCATGGTTTGAGATGACAGAAGCCCGACGCATCATGTTCAATATCAACGCTCACTTCATGGTAACGTACGCCACTCTCCCAGACATTCCAATGATACAATTCTGGATCTTATTGTAATTTGTACTAGTATAAAAATTCACAAAATACATAAGTTATAAAAAAATTCTCAAAATACACATGTTTCACATTCACCGTTTTTGTCTAAGGCAGTAAATATAATCACCGCATTAGACAAAAACGGTGAATAATTCACTGCTTTTATTTAAAATGATGACGTATTCACCGCGGCCATGCAAAACGGTGAATAACGAGGGAACCATTCACCGCCTTACACTAAAACAGTGAAGTGTTTACCGTTTTAGTAAAACGCGGTGAAATATTCCCCGCATCTGAAGGCCACGATATTCACCGTGTTTGTCCACGTCAACGATTCGCGTCGCGGATAGCTCACCGTTGCCGTTGGATGTGGTAAAGCGCGGATTTTGGTTTTCTTCCCAGATCCGACGCCTCACAGTCACAACGTTCCATGTCATCGATCCGCGCCTTCACCGTCTTCGATAAAGGCGGTTTATTCACTGCATTTGTCAAAGGCGGTGATGGCTTAGTGGATGTTTTCGCCACAACCTTCCCCTATAAATAGAAACCCCCCCCCCCCCCCCCCCCTCCTCCCTCTCTCCCTTCCAAATAACACCACCACACTTACACTTCTTTCTCGCTCCCTCCATCCACTATAGTCTCGTTCTAAGTATGCTCTGTGGTTGCGGCTAAGTCCGATCTTCCACATCAGAAAGAATTACTAGAGTTATACCCTAAAGCCCCCATCCCTTATAAACCCGTTGAATCATTGTCCGGCTTTCGCCAAAAAATGGACGAAAAGGCTCTTTGGCTAGTTTCTTAGTTTTTCTTTTTGTGATTTTTTTTAATCGAAACAATTTGATTTTGCGATATTTTTTAATCAAAACAATCTGATTTCATTTACTTTTTTTTTATAGATGGGTGCCGAGATATACGATCCTCGATTGTATATCCATTATGGGCAAAGAGATACGAGGTATTTAACCGATCAAGAAGCACATCGCTCCCGTGCAATTTGGGACAATAATCCGGTAAATTGATGATTTATTTTGCTTTATTTTATTATTTTATAAGGTTTTATTTTGCTTTCTTTTAACTAACAAATTGATGTTTTTCCTATTTTTTTTGTAGGAATCACTTATTCCCGTCATTCATAAAGGGACCACAAACTTGCCCGCTTGGTATGATCGGTTGGCGTCGTATATAGAGAGGACCGGGTTGGGTATGTTGAGGCATTTCATGCGGATTGAAATCGACAACGATCTGCTTACGGCAATGGCGGAGCGATGGCGCCCCGAAACCCATATGTTTCACCTTCTGGAGGGGGAAATGACGATCACCCTCAAACACGTCGCGATCCTCACCGGGCTGCCGATTTCTGGAGAGGCCATCATTGGTACCGCTACCAAACCCGAAGGAGGTTGAGGGCCGCTCATTCGTGCTCTTTTGGGATTTGACATGCCGACCACCACACCAATTCAAGGATGGGGGCATCCACCGTTGAATGCGGGACAAGTGTCGGTCCCGTGGCTCGTTACTCACATCCAAAATGAGGTGGAAATCGATGACGAGACTCCGAAAGATCAAGTGGAGCGCTATGCACGCATCTACCTCATTGGTTTGGTGGGTTGATTTCTGTTCCCCGACAAGTCAAACTGGTGGATGTAAGGAATATGGTTGCCATTGCTCACTGGTGACTGGGATACAATCGGGGAAAAGAGTTGGGGATCGGCCGTGTTAGCTGGTGTATATAGGAAGCTGTGTGCTTGCTCGAAGGTGGGAGCGAGACAAGCTGGTGGGGTGATGTTCATCCTCCAGCTCTGGGTATGGGAGCATCTTCCAATGTTCGCACCTTAAGACCCACGTCCATACCGGAGAGCATCTTCCAATGGCCCTCAGATTATACACTGGCATATGGACAAAGTCGGGGGCATCGTCATTATCTTCCTCCTCGCTCACTGATCTAAAATCTTCCTCAGTATCATCGTCGCTCGAGTCGAATGGATAGCTCGGGCCAGAAGGATCAATATGACCACCATCACCAACATCGTCTTCTTGCTCATGTGAAGTATGTCCTGATCGAATGGTATTCTCGATTTCAGCCCACTCTGGCCCCAAGCAGCCCATTGAATGCCATCGGCCTCAACAAATGGGGCAGGTTCATCCCATTGCGGGTATTCTTCTGATGGCACCCATCCTGCACTACTACCTCCTCCGTAGTTGCTTGAACTACCACCCTCTCCGTAACCTCCTATATAACCACCTCCTTCGTAGTTGCTCGAACTACCACCCCATCTGTACCCTCCTGCAAAACCATCATCAAAGAATACTGGTGAGAATGAGTTTCACCGACCGCCTCGGTCTCAACATACACCTCTGCAATCCACATCCCATTATCGCTTAGGAACTGTAACATCATCGTAACCGCGTCATCATCGTTTATGAAAACTTCTTGGTACACAACCCCGCCAGCACTCATGTCTGGATACTGGTAACTAATTTTACCAAGTCTCCTCTGTCCGCTCGTACAAACCCTATATGCACAAATATCACAGAGTTCTTCAAAATTGAATAGCGACTCAATTTTCAACATAGTGAATTCACCGTCCTCATAATTAATCCCTATGTAAGAGTTTGTTACCCTTCTATTCCACCGAATAATAAGCTGAAACTTCTTGAATTTACCCATATCTACAATTTACAATAAGTAACTATTAGCTTAATTCCATGTAAAATTAACCAAAACCATATTATACGACTAATATTACTCCATATCATAACTAACATAACATAAATTCAACTAACTAACAACAGCATAAATTCCCCAACTACCATAACATATTTGCTACGATAAGTAATTCATTACATAACAATATAACTACTAAAAAATCATTAGTCTACAATACAAAAATTAAATCATACCAAAGATTCTTGTTCTGTGTATGTTGTTCGGTTTTGGTTGCTGAAATTTGAAGAGGGAGAGGGGTTACATTTTTACAACTGCTGGTGGGAGTGGTATTTATAAGAAAATCGGCTAGCATTCACCACGTTTGTCCAAAACGGTGAACGCTATCACCGCGTTACCCTAGGCGGTGAACATTAGTTAGTTGTGACCTAATTTTTACCTACCAGGGGTGGGAAACGTGGGAAACAATCACCGCTTTAACCTAGGGCGGTGAAGTTGTTCCCCGCTTTCCCCAATAACGGTGATTTATTCACCATTGAATCAAGACATCAGAATCAAGACCGAGCCATCTAGGTCCTCACCGGGGTAAAGAGTGTAAAGAACAAGGAAATGAATCCCTCACTCTCAACCAGTGGGGTGAGGACAATTTGATGCGAAAAATGCGCATACTTATTCTCTCTATCCCTAACGTCTCTTCACCATAACGACAGCCTCTAAATGTTAGACTTCACATAAATGGGTGTCATCACTAAGTAATTCGGAGGTCTTAGACACAGGTTCAAATGACTGGCTAGGGTCTTGGACATGGGGAAAAGGCCTTTTAGGTGGTGGAAGTATTCATAGCACAAGGTTCCACAGTTCCAAACCCAACACATTCACCGCCAATCAAACCACTTACTTTCTTTCTGCCATTCTGCATTACCCAAATTGTTTAGAGCACAAGAGCGAAGGAGGTCACAATAATGTTAGTATTTCTAAGCCAGACTGCTAAGTAACACTACTTACTAAGCATGATTCATATTTTTGGCAGTGGCTCTCTTTAGCTTTCATCCATTTTTTTTATTTTTTTTTTCATTTCTTGAGAGAACCACCACCTCTGCACATTTTTCAAACACATGTCCAACTTTTTTAAGAACTACCTCCAACCCTCACATTTTTTTAGCAGAAACAGCAGAGAACATGCAAAAACCACTCCGTGGAACCTTCTAAGAGATGCAAAAGGGTGATTTTCCATTATAAATCGAAAGAAAGAAAGAAAGTGACACGACTCAAAGGGGCTGACTAGGGGGTATGACACACCAGGACAGTTAATTTGGTCGTGGGCTATTCCTATGCCTCCATCTTAGCTAATGACAACGTGAATGCTACACATCATGGAAGAGGGATCTATCGCACAAGAAAGAAACGAGCAGGCTCAAATCTCGCATGGCTACTATATGCTCTATCTCTCATTATGATTCCCTGAACTAGATGCATAAACGACTGGCAAGAACAAGTGATAAATCCAAGTCACAGTTGGTAAGCAAACAGTTAAAAAAAATTGAACTCCTACACAATTCTACTGCACGTCTCAGTCATCATTATAGGTCGTCCTAGTCACAATCCAGTTGTCATGGATTAATTTGAAAGCCATTCGATTCACCAATTAAACCCACAGTGCCAATTTCCTGCTATAACACAACACCAAACTGCGACCAAGTGTAATCGCAGTCCGGAAATGCAGTAACAGGCAAGCTCTAATTGTCAACCCGGGGTCTAGATCTACTGCCGACTCTTTGAATATCTATTATCTAGCAAACTAAGTCGAGTGATTGTGATTTTAACTAAAAGCAGTAAGATAGCAGGAAATGATTTAGTTTTCTAAAGCAAGGGAAGAGTCACTCGGGAATGAGTCCCCCTAGCTCCTTACTTAGGTCTCAGTTGTAATAACCCTGGGTTGATTTACTGTTGATTAAACTGCGGAAGATCCGACACTAGCTAGGAATCTCTTAAGCTGACCAAGACCTCTCAGATAGACTAACCGACAGGCGACCAACCTTAACCGGGATAGAGTGGTGAGGCAACAAGCACAAAACTCCACTACTGGAATTGGGTTCCAGTACAAAGCAGTAGATTGATTAACTCTCGTATAACCAATCTACCACTACCGATTGATGAAGCTCTAACAACCTAATCAGATTCTATCTATCTCAGGTTGCAGCAGAAATCAAGAACAGATGATCAGACTTCAATTGACTCAATGAATCATGCATCAATCGATTAAAATAAAACAATATAACAATCCCAAGTCATTACAATCAAGATCCCTAACACATGGAACTAGGGTTCTTCATACCCAAACGAGAGAAAGTTCTACTCCATAGAGAGAGAGAGAGAGGGAAACATAATACAAAGCTTGTGGGGCGATATTCATCCTCTAGATCTGGGTATGGGATAATCTTCCAATGTTCGCACCTCAAGACCCACGTCCATACCAGAGAGCATCTTCCAATGGTCGTCGAATTATACACTAGTATATGCACAAAGTCGGGGGAATCATTCTGACTATATAAAAATTGAGTTGGAACCTGTGTGTAGTATGGCGTCGGTGCCTCATGAAATGCCGCCTCGTCGTCGGTATCGTCACTATCTTCTTCCTTGCTCACTGATCTAAAATCTTGCACAATATCATCGTCGCTCGAGTCGAATGGATAGCTCGAGCCAGAAGGATCAACATGACCACCATCACCAACATCGTCTTCTCGATCATGTGAAGTATGCCCTGATCGAATGGTATTCTCGATTTCAGCCCACTCTGGACCAAGCAAGCCATTAAATGCCATCGGCCTCAACAAATGGGGCAGGTTCATCCCATTGCGGGTATTCTTCCGATGGCACCCATCCTGCACTACTACCTCCTCCGTAGTTGCTTGAACTACCTCCCTCTCCGTAACCTCCTCTATAACCACATCCTTCGTAGTTGCTCGAACTACCACCCCATCTGTACCCTCCTGCAAAACCATCATCATAAGAATACTAGTGAGAATGAGTTTCATCGGCCGTCTCGGTCTCAACATACTCCTCTACAATCCACATCCCATTATCGCTTAGGAACTGTAACATCATCGTAACCGCGTCATCATCGTTTATGAAAACTTCTTGGTACACAAACCCACCAGCACTCATGTCTGGATAACAGTAACTAATTTTACCAACTCTCGTATGTCTGCGACTACAAACCCTGTCTACACAAATATCACAGAGTTCTTCAAATTGAATCGCGACTCAATTTTCAACATAGAGGATTCACCGTCCTCATAATCAATCCCTATTTCAGAGTTTGTCACCCTTCCATTCCACCGAATAATAAGCTGAAACTTCTTGAATTACCCATATCTACAAATTACAATAAGTAACTATTAGCTTAATTCCATGTAAAATTAACCAAAACCATATTGTACGACTAATATTACTCCATCTCATAACTAACATAACATAAATTCAACTAACTAACAACAACATAAATTCCCCAACTACCAGAACATATTTGCTACGATAAGTAATTCATTACATAACAATATAACTACTAAAAACATCATTAGTCTACAATACAAAAATTAAATCATACCAAAGATTCCTGTTCTGTGTATGTTGTTCGATTTTGGTTGCTGAAATTTGAAGAGGGAGAGGGGTTACGTTTTTACAACTGCTGGTGGGAGTGGTATTTATAAGAAAATCGGTCAGCATTCACCGCGTTTTTCCAAAAGGGTGAACGCTATCACCGCGTTTGTCCAAAACTGTGAACGCTATCACCGTGTTGCCCTAGGCGGTGAACATTAGGTAGTTCTGACCTAATTTTCAGCTACCAGGGGTGGGAAACATGGGAAACCATCACCGCCTTAACCTAGGGCGGTGAAGTTGTTCCCCGCTTTCCCTAATAACGGTGATTTATTCACCATTGTTAACGAACACGCTGATGTCTTCACCGTTTAGATCAAACGCGGTGACCGTTTCACTGCTGTAAATGAAGACGGTAATTCGTTCACCGTTTTTGACCCACGAGCGTGTTATATTCACTAACTTTCTCTAATGAAGTGATTATATTCACTGCCTTAGACAAAGGCGGTGAATGTGAAACATGTGTAGATTGGAATTTTTTATAACTTATGTATTTTGGGAATTTTTTTTAATAACTAGTGTATTGTGGGATTTTTTCGGTGTTAGGCCAACCAAATAACCCCAAGTGTGTTGTAGAAAATAAGTGGAAAACAGCCCAAATGTGGATGATGATGTTGATTTGTTACTCATGGAAACCTGCGTATGATCGTGTGTGCAGTTCTCTTGCTCTTGTTGTGATCTTCTGAGCTAATGCTGAATCGAAATACAGGCCTGACACGCTATAACACAACACCAAACTGCGACCAAGTGTAATCGCAGTCCGGAAATGCAGTAACAGGCAAGCTCTAATTGTCAACCCGGGGTCTAGATCTACTGCCTACTCCGTGAATATCTATTATCTAGCAAACTATGTCGAGTGATTGTGATTTTAACTAAAAGCAGTAAGAAAGCGGGAAATGATTCAGTTTTCTAAAGCAAGGGAAGAGTCACTTGGGAATGAGTCCCCCTAGCTCCTTAGTTAGGTCTCAGTTGTAATTACCCTGGGTTTATTTACTGTTGATTAAACTGCGGAAGATCCGACAGTAGCTTGGAATCTCTTAAGCTGACCAAGCCCTCTCAGGAAGACTAACCGGCAGGCGACTAACCTTCACCGGGATAGACTGCTGAGGCAATAAGAACAGAACTCCACTACTGGAATTGGGTTCCAGTACAAAGCAGTAGATTGATTAACTCTCGTATAACCAATCTACACTACCGATTGATGAAGCTCTAACAACCTAATCATATTCTATCTATCTCAGGTTGCAGCAATCAAGAAAAGATGATCAGACTTTAATTGACCCAATGAATCAAGATCCCGAACACATGGAACTAAGGTTCTTCATACCCAAGCGAGAGAAAGTTCTACTCCATAGAGAGAGAGAGGGAAACACAATACAAAGCAGTTATACTCATAACAATGGGAAGAATCTGCTCTGGGATGTCAATATTCACTCCTGGGGATGCAATATGGGCTTCAATGGTGAGAAATCCACTCCAAATAGCTCCTAGGGTTTGTTCTTTGCACCTTCTCTCTCTTAAACTCAGTTTTTGCTCCAAAAAGTCGACTCTCTCTCCTTTGGCTCGAATTTGCCTAAAAAACCCGATTCTGGGTGAAATACGGGCAGAATTCCGGTCGTAATCATGGTCTGCCCGTAATTCACCCAAAACGCGTGATTCACTAAACTCCGAGGAAGGTAACTACGGTCGTAATTACCCAATTACTGCCAGTATTTAAGTAATTACGACCTTAAATGAGTCCACTCTTGCCCGTAATTTGCTCTGCGACAGGAATTCTCAGGGATTTAGGCTCGGCATTGCATTTACGGGCATGACAAAAGCAATTACGCCCGTAATTGGGCAGGGGTTGCCCGTAATTATTCCTCCGCTCCTGTTTAATGCTTCATTTCTCCCTCGTCCGGACTCTGAATCAGTCGCCGTTTGAACCTAGTTGCTCGTAGTCTCGTCCTCTTTCTTTTCATAACAAAATTACATGATTATTTGTCCATAAAATGAGGTAGAAATCCATTATTCCTCAGGTCATGCTCGTGTTTCTTCTCCCGAATTGCCAAATGAATTCCGATTGACTTGAAACTTGCGCTTTTTCTCCAATTTACATGCTAGGACCTGAAATGTGACAAAGGAACACAACCTAGCGTAAAATAGTCCAAGAAATCAAAAACTCTAGCCAAAATGATGAAGAAATGAGGGTGCAAACATGTGCAAATACGACGTTATCAAGGCCATTGACAACTTCATGAGTTAGTAGTACTGTAGTAGCAGGTATTCACAGGTTGTTGATGCATCTCATCTCTTTAAGCAATTCTATGACGTAAAACATCATGAAGCTATTGGGAATGTATCGGACATGCTTGATGTTGTCTTTGTTTGTTGATTAGGGGTGACGGTAAGCAATTATTGAAGCTTTTAGTATTGCTTCTTTAGATGGCAATCTGCTACAGGGGTTGCAGGATGTTTCCTGAAAGTATTTTAAAATTAAAGATTTGGGGCTGTTAGGTTTTTCTTTGTCGAGTCAACAAATAACACATCCATATACATTTTGCGGCAGAAATCTACGGTTGAGAACACATATGAGCTCGTAAATGACAAAGTAACTTAAACTTTATATAGGAAAGGTGATAAGCGATTCCTTGGGAAGGGGAAATGAAAAAGAACTCTTAGTTTACTGGACTTAAGCTTATCAATTAAACATCAAGTATAGACATAATTTGCTACATCCTGTCAACTAGAATAATGAGCCAAGCCCTTCCATCAATTATAGGGAAAGAGCCTTACTGGAAGAAGCCTGAATGTAGAGGAAGTTAAGAAAATGAGACTAAAATGGCAACGACAAACCAGAGTGAAAACAGTTTTTAAAAAAGATTAACTCCTAAGATCTATAATTACCCAAAAAATCAATGTGAAAAGCCCAGCCAATTGAGTTCCATGTAGGCATGAAAAGCATATGTGAGTGAGCGAGGAAAGGGACTCAGCTTACTAACCAACCTATTCATTAACTTGTCTATCAGTTATGCAATCTCGAATACAATTGACCATGAGCAAAAATCGCAGGCCCTCAATGTCCCTTACTTGTGGAGAAGCTCTTGATTTATACTCATGACTGAACTAATCTGTCATGCTATAAGAAGAGTTTTCAAAAGGCATAATCCTGGAATTATCTATACATAATCAACAAGCCAAAGAATGGAAAATGAGTACCTATCAGATCATGACTTTTCACAGCAAAATCATATAAATAAAACTTAACATGGGTTCTTAAAGTGAAGAATCTTATATCTGACTCTTCTGTCAAGATTCATTCAAAGCCTGATTGGTGGCGGTGTATTTCTTGCCTGCTGTGGTAACTAAGAGAAGTTGTAATTAGTAGAGCTTACGCAAAAAAGATGAAAAATGTAGACTAAGAAACAATAGCAAACTGATCTAGAGTAAACAATAGGGAAATGAACACCATGGATTCATGAAAAAGGTTGACATTCAATCATGAATCCATTTAATTGAGCATTCAAACATGAATTCACAGACATACAATTTTAGCAACAAAATCACGAAAAAAGGTTCACAAACTTACATTCAGTGAGTGGATTTTGCACCTTGTAAAGGTTAATGTTCTTCAAATCTAGATTTCAATTCTTCCACGTCTTCAGTGACATGCAGAAACTGAAGCACAATAAGATAAAGTTATCCTATCAGCTGAAGCCCATTCTTTCAAATATAAAACGATTCAAGACATACCATCATTAATTTCAACATCTTCGGGGTGAGCTCGGAACAATAAAACCCAAAAGCACTACAAATCGCGACCTCTAAAAGCAAACAATTGGAAATAGAATTAGTTTATGTGTAAGCGGAAATATCTAGAGATGGGAGAAATCCAATCAATTTGGAAAACATTCTGAAACTCTAAACTACAGAGAGATTTAGCAGCTCCTCTCGGACCCCATACCGAGCAGCATTGATGGTGATTTTGTTTAACTGAAATAAACAAATAGAGTAAGGCAAAACATTAAGTCTCATAGAATGTGAATGGTAAATGATTCAATGAGTAGATCGAGAAAATTTATAGAGAAGAAAGCACTTACAACCCATATGCGAAGAACATAAAATTGGCACCTTTTGAACAATCCAATTTCAGTAGCTCATTTGGTAACAACTCGTTCAAGCTCAAAACTTCCTATTCTGCTACCTTCCCACCAATACTAATCACTGATTCAAGAGTCAAAATCTATAAGAAAGAAACCAAGTTGGACATTATGATCAGTATTATCGAATTACCTACAACTCGTGGAAGAGGATCAAAGAGGAAGCTTAGATACCCTGATGGTGAGGCAGTGGACTTGGAAGTTGATCTCTAAAATGGACCTGAAAGCTTTCTCCATCTTACAGTTCTTTCTCATCTCAAGGCAATGCTTCTCTCGGCTAATTGGGGCTTGAAGAAGAACCATTTTGGACCAGTCTTCACCCCTGTTATATCCATGAACATGTTTTAATCCCTTTCTTTGTCTCTGTAAATCAGTTTTTGGTCTTGATACTGTAAGCCAGTTGTTCAAGGCTACATCATCAGCCCCTTGTTTTATTGCACTAAATTCAGCAAAAACCCCAAATTGACACTAGAAAGAGGGTAGAGGGGAAGAAAACAAAGGATGGGGTTTTCAATTATCGAATAAGGCTTGAGAGTTGGTGTTGAGTTGTAGAACTCAGGCTGATGCTGCCATCAAAAGAACATTCTTGTGAACATTGCCAAGGGCTGAATGTTCCGACACCTTCGCCGCCATCGACATTCTTCTCCTCGTCGTGACCTTCCACGTCATAGCTTCTGCTGCTGGAGCTCGAGGAGGGTGAGTAGAGGTTGCCGGAGAAACGAACGGGCACCGTCTTCGGCATACTCTTCCACATCTTCGTCACCATCACCGTTGTTTTCTCGTCGTCATCCTTATCTCCGTCGGAGTCAACTACGGGAAAATCTGCATCTGGGAGACCAGGATCGACCATGCTTGTCCATGGACACAGACAACGACTCTCCTCTTTAGGAAGACACGAACAGGGAGAGTGGAGTGCTGCCAGAGAAATGAACCAGTGTCGGGTTCAATCTTCATTAGATTTAAGGAAGGGACCAGGGGCGACGGCGTTCCTCCCAGATCCATCTTCAGGTCTAATTATTGAAGGTTGATCGTAGTTGCTTCGACGGTCGTATCATTGACCTCGTCTTTCCCCCCACCTCTCTGGCCACTCCAATTGAGGCGGAGAGCTTGGAACGGGAAAGCAGCAAAGTGTAATAGAGGTAAGATGTATTTGGCAGGGAAAGCAGTATAAGTGTTCTCTTAAAACAGGGAAATAAGATCAGTACTGTTGAAAACACGACTAGGTTCAGGCCCTTAAGGCCAAATCCTTAAGGAGTTCCTTAAGTGATTTTCGGCCATTGGATTGATTGATAGTAGTTAATGGTTGTTGAGCCGTTTTTAGGTAGGTAAGGGTAGTGTTGGCATTAGGAATTTTAATTAATTAATGAGCATATTTTAATTAATTACCTGCTGTTTTTTCATATAGCATGCGGTAGGGTTTTATTAGTTTCTCTTTAGGTTTTTTGTTTACGTAAGAAGGTGAGTTGCTGAACAATTGCCGGCGATTCACCTCTCTGCTTCCGGCGGCGACCAGGCCGGCGAACAGGCAGTCACCAGGAAACGACCCGGCGGCGACGCGGCGACGACCAGACAAAACTACCGCCGGCGGTCGCTGTCTCCCTCTTTAGCTTCATCTCCCGTAGATTCATCGGCGACCAGGCGGCGACTAGGCGGCGACCAGACAAAACTATCGACGGCGACCACACTTTGAGGAGTTTATCCCGTCGATAGTGTCTTCATCTCCCCGTAGCTTCACGGAAGGTATTTGGTTTTTTTTTTATGTTTGGGTATTAACATTATTATTATCGAATGTTAGCTGTTTGAACTTGTTACCTGCCAGAACTGGATCTACATCTAGGGTTGTACGTGAGCAATGGGTTTTGAGAGTCCTTTGTGTGGAGTCCTTGTCAGACTTCCATTAAAAGCAAACCTTAACGAAAAGGCACCAAGTCCTAGCAAAAAACGAGCAAAAAATAGAAGTTGCAGGAAACAAAGAGAAAAAAGAGTGATATCTTCGTTTGTTTGTTTCTTGTTCTTTTGATGTAATTATTATAATTATATCGGTAAACAGTAGTTTATGGACGAGGGGTTCGTGGATTTTTTTAATGTTTGTGTATTAACGTGTTATTAACATTATTATTATCGAATGTTAACGTGTTTTTAACATTATTATTATCTAACGTGTTATTAACATTGTTATTAACAGTATTATTATCTAATGTTAACATATTAACGTGTTATTAACATTATTATAATTTAATGTTAACATAAATTGAATGTGTTATTAACATTTTCAGGCATCATTTTTATAGTGAAACTCTACATGTTGTTAACAATCTGATTCACCGTTTTGTTAATGTCAATTACTTAGGTTATCAACATCATGGCTCGAACCAAAAACACCTCCCATAAGACTGTGCCGCACAAAGAAACATCTGAGAAAAAGCTGACCGAGACAGTTGAAAATAATGGAGATAGACTCAGCCACAGATGTAGTATGTCTCAGGTTATAAAGATGGTGGAAAATATTACTCCTGCTCGAGCTGCTCTAATTCAGGGGTATGGGTTTGGTTTTGTGTTGAATTTGACGATGCACAACATTGATCAGGATTACTTGAGAATGATTGCACAACATTTCGATCACCGGAATATGTCTTTCAGTATGCCAGGCGGGCAGAGTATACGCATCACAGAGTCTGATATTGCACGCGTTTATGGGTTGCCTCGTGGTACTAATTCTCCTCAACTTGATTACTTTCAAGCGCCTAACTCTAAAAAGTGGGCAAAACGTCTGGGCATACGTCGTGTCAACCCAGATAATGTGAAGTTAATGAGGTTGAAAGAAGCTATGCATCGGACTGATGACGACCAATCGTGGGTGCAAATGTGCATCCTCCTGACAATTGGATATTTGCTAGACCCCAATGGTGGAATGCGGGTTCGTCATCAGTACTTGGGATTTATGAGGGGACGCTTAGTTGACGAGTTTACCAAGTACAACTGGTGTGGACATATGATCAGTTGCCTGCGTGCGGCTTTTATGAAAAATAAATCGAGGAAGTACGTGGAGGGGGATGTTCACTTCCTCATTTGTGCTTTTCTGGATCGGACAGGTGTCCTTGGTAGAGAGGGGTTTGTGACTACATTGATCCCCAGTTGTGCGTATTGGGCAGATTCTCGTGTATCAACACGCAAGTCAGAGGTGCTGCGGAATGCTAGTGAACTACGAGCTGTGCCCATACTCAAGACCTCTCAGCCTATGACTAAGACTTTTGTTGGCACTGCAACAAAGGAGGATAATACAGTAGCTACCACCGAGCCTGAAGTATTGGAAATCGCTAGGAAGGTAAGGTCGGATGTGATGCGTGACAACGAGGATGAGCATGAGGATTCTTTGGGGTCGGGATCCATTTTTGGGGCCTTGTGCTTGAGGCTTGACCACATGGAAACTAACGAGGTAAGTTCCACCAATTTTCAATATTAGGTCTGTTCTTATATTAATTTTAATACGTTTTTTGTGATTTTAACTATCATATTCGAGGTAATTTTAATACGTTTTTTGTTATTAACATTATTAACATACATGTTAATAACAGGTGTCATTCCCCATTATTAATTAGTTACATTTTTTATACATTTAGATTGTGTCTATGCGGGACAATGCATGTATGTCACTAGATGTGTTGCGTAGTCAAGCTATCTGTCTACATCGTGTAATCAGAGACTGTAAGGTTGAGCTTGATAAGCGTGGGGCTGAATCGTCGGATTCTGATGAGGAATCTCATGGCCGGAATGAGTCACTATCCCTGAATGACGTTTCTGGTAAAATACTTCTTTCTTATGATTAAAATATCATGTTTAGCTCCGTATAAAATTGTTTTTCACGTCATCTGTATTGGCATGATTATTATTAATCGTCTCTGGTTCTTTCAGTAACAAAGGATAAGGGAGGTGTCAATGCATCTCAAGAGGGACTTGCGTCTGAACATGAGTCTCTATCCCAAAACGACGATGCGGGTTAGATACTTCTTATTTATGATTCAAATAGCACGTTTGCTCCGTATAAACTTGTCTGCTCCCATCATCTGTATTGGCATAATCATTATTAATCATATCTGAATCTTTCAGTAACAAATATTAAGGGAGGTGTTAATGCATCTCAACTGGAGAAAACGTCTGACCATGAATCTGCGTCCCAGCTACGAGAATTTTCTGGTATTGGTGCAAACAATGATACAGATGGTAAGTAATCTAATTCCGAAATATATTCGTTGTTATACTTTTTTTAGAAACATTTATGCGCCTCATGTTTGAATTAAAGAATGTGAACTGTGCTTTCATTATTAACATGCTGCTTATTCATTGTTAGTCAAAATGAATGGATTTTTAACACCTGCAAACCTAATTATTAATTGCCAATTTTGAGGTGCTGTAGAGAACATAGTGGACCAACCTGTGAAGACTCGTGTATACAAACGAAAGAAGAGATCTCGGCCCCTAGTTGTACCCTCAGATGATGATTTTGAAACCAGGCCTAAGAGGGTTGTCAAAAAGTCCAAATATGTAAGGACGCCATTCACTGCAAATAAATCCAATGTAGTTGCTAAAGTTGTACCTGTTAAGGAGAAGGGAGTTGATGTGTCGAAAGAGGTACCTCCTAACGAGAAGCAACATGAGGGTGTTGAAGAAGTGCCTGCTAAGGAGAAGCGTCCACGAGCTACACCAAAGCCTATCGATGTTTTCTACATTGACGGAAATTTATGGGAGGACCTGACACTTTGTTATGCTTGGCAAGGTCCAGGGGAATGGTACACTTCTATTTACACGCCTCCTATTTCAATATATATATTTTATCTACCAAATTTTGTATTTACTAATCCACCATTTGTTGATGTTTTCTATTTCCCCATATAGGAATGAAGAGTTGAGGAAGCTGCAGGATAACACCATTGTTCTCACAAAGATGGATACAAAATCAACAATCCCTGGTTCCTTTATAGAGGATAGCTTTGTAGATTGTTATTTAGATTTTCTCAACCGTGCCGAGGTTCGTAACACCAATGGGGTGGTTGGTAGATGGATTTTCTCATGCCTATTTGTTGTAAGTGTATTACCCAAAATTTTAACTCCATAATTTTCTTGACCATTGTGGCTAACCCCATCCTTCTATCGTTCTGTTTTGCAGCAATCACTAATTGCAAAAATGGATGAGAAGTTAGCACAACTAAAACCTGGTGAAGAGGCACCGGTGGAGTTGACTCAGCAAGAATACCGCAATATATTGATTGATGAATTCCTCCTGTACCCATGGTTGGAAGACAAGACATTCACGAAATGCCAATTCATATGTATCCTATCCCTTCCTTTATACGTACTATGGTTATTAATACGGTGTTCGCCTATTATTAGCAAATTATCCGCCCGTTATTAACAGGTTATTAATAGATAATAGTATATTTGACTTTTAATATATATATCGTCTGTTATTAACAAATGAATGAATATTATTAACATATCATGTATTCACTTGCCGTGACATTTGTTGTTAATACGGTGTTCGACTATTATTAACAAGTTATCCGCCATTATTAACAAATTAATCGTCATTATTAATAGTTATTAGTAACAACGCGCATCAAGATGAGATTATTAACAACTATTAGTAACTTTGATTTTTAATAATTACCACGCCCGTTATTAACAAATGAAATAATATTATTAACGTGTTATGTATTCACTTGTCGTGCAGTGGTTCTTTCCCCTCTGTGTTGGCAATCACTATGTCGTGTACTGCGTTGATTTACTGCACAAGGAGTTTCAATTCATGAATAGTCTGCGACATGATTGGAATGATTCACGTTATCAGACCATAGGAAGGGAGTTGGTGAAATATGTCCAGGCTTTCGTTGGGTGGGAGGTTAACAGGATATACAACTTTGAAGAGTTCCCTTGGAATTTTGATCTCGGATTCAGACAAAACGACTATATTTCATGTGGTGTTTTTGCTTTGAACTTCATTGAGTTTTGGGCAGGAAAGAGGGAGCGCAATTGGAAAACCAGATGGGCAGACTTGAACTATATCAACAAAAGGAGGGCAGAGTGTTGCAAACGCTTATTGCTTGACCCGGCGAACCTCAGGCTGCAATATTTGGAACAGATGATTGCCGAGAACAGAGATGATCTCCTGCAGATTGGTAGCCAGTGGACGCCGGAGTTATACTAGAAACTATTTATTTATCCCACATA